GGTGGGATTCAAATTAAAAACATGATGCGAGGTATGATTTGGTTTTTGCTTCCTGTAAGCTGCGTCGTGAACAATGACATTTGGGCCTACGCATTCGGTAAAATGTTTGGGAGAACGAGGCTTTTGGCTTTGTCACCCAAAAAGACATTGGAAGGGTTTTTGGGCGCCTTTCTCTTTACAATGGCATGGTCGTTTTGGTTTGCCGGGTTTCTTGGTTATTTTCCGGAGCTCTATTGTCCAAAGGTAGATTTTCATTCGCCAATGCATTGCGAAAAGGATCCGTTGTTTGTCCAGAGGGCACTTGTGTTGCCGTCCTTTATTCAAAAACTAACGGGAAACTATTTAACGACTATTCAATGCTCCAAGGCTCAGCAACATGCCCTTGTGCTTGCGGCGTTCGCGTCCTTGTTGGCCCCATTTGGCGGGTTTTTCGCCAGTGGTTTAAAGCGGGCGTTCAAACTGAAGGATTTCGGTGACCTCATCCCCGGTCATGGTGGCATTACAGATCGCATGGACTGCCAGGGGATGATGGGGGTTTTCACCTACGTTTATTTAATGAGTTATGTGTATTCCGACGCAAAGTGTCCTTCTTTGCATGATTTGAGCAGTTGCGCCTTGCGATTGAGTGATGAAGGGAAAATTAGGCTTATGCAACTGCTGAATGAATCTCTATCAAAGGGCTTCTAAGGCTATTGAGGAAGATATTATTCCAATCATCAAAGGATTATTCTGTATTTGCTTCTGTTTACTTTAAAGGGGCATATATATATATATAATATTGAGGTTGGTGGGTGTTTTGTTGTTTATGGTGAGATTTACAGGATGAAACTCTTATTTCCACCATTATTATTTTTTTTATATAAAGTCAATGTGTAATATTTATATATGTTTCCGTTTGTTTGCTGTTGTCCTTATTTATTTATTGCTTTGTTTGAAAGGTCGTCTAGTAGTCATGACGGAGGTTGCAGCAGCCAAGAAGGAAAAGAAGGCCCCACAGGAGGAGGTTGTTGTGCAGCAGACGGACCAGGCACAGGTTGGTCTCATCATCAAGGTGCTCGGACGCACCGGCTCGCGTGGCAATGTGACGCAGGTTCGTGTCCGTCTCATGGCAGAGGAGGGCTCACCGGATGCAAACCGCACCATTGTGCGTAACGTGAAGGGACCGTGCAAGGAGGGTGACATGCTTTCGCTCATGGAGACAGAGCGCGAGGCCCGTCGTCTGCGTTAAGATTTTTTTTTTTGGACGCCGGTCTTTCATTTTATTTTTGTTTCTTCTTTTGTGGTTTCCTGATGCTGATTTTGTTGACGTTTTGTTTTGTTGTTCGTTTTTTTTTTTTTTTTTTTCTGGATGGCTGATATATTGGCCTCTTTTTGATGTTTGCTTCTTTTCCTCTCCTTTTATTTCTTTGTTACTGCTGTGTCATTAGCTCTTTAGTCATGACGGAGGTTGCAGCACCCAAGAAGGAAAAGAAGGCCCCACAGGAGGAGGTTGTTGTGCAGCAGACGGACCAGGCACAGGTTGGTCTCATCATCAAGGTGCTCGGACGCACCGGCTCGCGTGGCAATGTGACGCAGGTTCGTGTCCGTCTCATGGCAGAGGAGGGCTCACCGGATGCAAACCGCACCATTGTGCGTAACGTGAAGGGACCGTGCAAGGAGGGTGACATGCTTTCGCTCATGGAGACAGAGCGCGAGGCCCGTCGTCTGCGTTAAGCAAAAACATAAGAGCAATTATTTGCGTTTTTTTGAAATTAAATTTTTTTTTTTTTTGTAACTAATTGTTATGTTTTCTTTTTTACTTTTTAAAAAAAAGTGTTCCGAATTTCTTTTTTTTTTTTTTTTTGCGTGTGTTCCTACGCCTTGTGGTGTGTGCATGTCATTTTCCTTTTTTTTTTTTTTTTGCGCTTTGCTCTTTCCTAATTTTTAGGGTGAATGAATGTAACACTGGAGACCCTTGCCCAGGCCCTCACTGTCCTGCAACAGGCGACTGCAGCGGACTTGTCAGGGGAGACTGAGACAGCTGTTGAGATGTACGTCGCAGCAAAGAACGAATTGGACGCTGTGGCTCCGTACCTCCCCCGCGGACACGCCGATGTGGTTCGAGGCCATGCGGAGGAGGTTAAGCGCAGAATAGACGTGATCAACTGCAATCGATGGGCGAAAGAGGGCAAAAGTGAGTTCCCCACATTCCCTCTGGAGTATGTGCCAAAGCCTGTACCTGTCGAGGAGTTTAGGGTGCCTCTCAATCCCACCTTTCGGGTATTGTGGCTGATGCGTCTTTTGGAACGCTCAATAAGGCAAGGTGCCTTCGTGGCACCTGATCTGTATGTAGGGAAGGAGGTGTGGTACCAGAACGGGGGAGGCGCCGCCCTCACACACACGGGCCCGAAGATACGTTATCTGACTGCCCTCTGCGGGGCGATGGAGCAGTTGCGGGCGGTGGCGAACCTGAACAATACCGAAACCGTCACAAAAAGCCTTCGAAAATATTTAAAGACATCGGAAGAGCTTACAACGGCGTTAGAGATGGAGATTGGAATTCGCACAGACGGAGGGGCGTCGCCACGTTCAAGGATTGAACGGGGTATGCGAGGTTTATTCCACAAGGGACAGCAAGTGCTTCGAACATGGATGAATCACGAACCAAACATGGAGTTGTGTCTCATTTGGGCCGTCAACACACTCGGGCAGGCACAGCTGTTCGAAAGATGGATTATATACTACTCTCAAGTGCATATGTCATCGGCCGTGACAGAAATTATGGGTTTCTTACACCGTGCGGTGGGGCTTCTGTACAGTGGTCCCTGTAGTTTTTTGCTGCGCGATATGGCGATTCTGATAGAGCGGTACCAAGAGAAGTGCCGTAAAAGCACTACTCGTCTTCTTCCAGTAGATGTCAAGTTGGAGGGCGGCACGTTCAGTTAAAAATCCACACACACACAGAGAGAGAGAGAGAGAGGGAGAGAGAGAGAGGAAAGAAAGAAAAGCTTCTTCTTTTTTTTTTTTCAGTCTTCTTTAGCTGTCTCTGTGCTCGATTATCCGTCACGAATCCGGGTGAATGCCATGTGAATAAAATCTTTATTGCTCGTACTGTTCATAAGAATGGCTTGTTTCTTTACTTTTTTTTTTTTTTTTTTTGTGTGTGTGCGTTTGCATATGGGGTGGGATGTGGGGGGAATGGATAACTTTTCTTCCCTTTAACCGGCTGTGTTTCCCATCTCCATTGTACCCTACCCCCTACTTCCTACTTCCTCCTTTTTTTTTTTTTAATTTTTTAAATTTTTATTTTTAAATTAAGATGCAAAAGCAGCAGCTTACTTTGGATGCCGCATACAAGTTTACACTCTGGTACTCGCTATTTTGTGAGGCTCAAAGCAGAAAAGAGAGAACAACAGAGTGCCGCAGTCATGATACACGTGTAAGACACATCGCTTTTTCGCTCCTCAAGGCGTCTCTTCCACGCAAGTCGCTGAAGAGCTGTTGTTTGTCCGGTGCATGTGGCAGGGACTCTTTAACGCACAAAAGGGTACATTTTGGAAGACCCGAAATTTGTCCCGCGCCTGGTGGGCGTGATGATGTGTGCCAGTGCCTTGCCCATGCAACGGCGTGTGTCGGGTGCCCGGTTCGCCTTATGGTGAGGGACTACAGTTCCTCGGCCTCGCTCACAGGGGATCGTTATGGCGGGCTACGCTGCATGCTGCGTCACATGACGCTTCAGAGTGTAACGTTTTCTGGTACATCGGACCCACACGACGCACAGCGTGTGGTAGAGGAGCTCAGTCAAACGCTGATGTCTCACACAGGGACGTTGGAGCGTCTCAGTTTGGGAGGTATTCCGGCACACGTCGTGATCTCCCCACTGTTGCGCGCCATGACGATGGTGGATAGCTTGACGGAATTACGACTTGAGGATTGTGGAATACAAGATGTTGATGATATTGTCTCCTACTTAAATATGGCAAGGCATTTACGCCGAATTTCCTTGCGTGGCAACAGCGGGATAAGTGAGGGAATGGCAAAACTGGGTGGCGCAGTGGCAACATGCCGTTCGTTGCTGTCTGTTGATATGGGACTCTGTCGCTTGCGAGATGACCATCTTTATCACTTTCTCAATAACCTTCATAGCTTTTTGGGGCGTGCATCCTTTACTTTTGATGTATCCAACAATTTCTTGAGCAACCTTTCATTTGATCACCTTCGAGACGCCCCCGCGGCGTTTCGGGCAACCGTAAGCGAGTTGGATCTCAGCGGTCACAATTTGGAGAACTGTGGGGTTGTCGCATCTGCTATGCTTTTGAAGCTTACCGCCCTGCGTGGTATTTTGCTGGATCAGTGTGAGCTTGGGTCGCGTGATTTGCAGCGGCTGTGCAGAGTACTCAGTCAAAAGGAACGACGCTGGAACCTTTTGTCTTTTCGGGGCAATGCTTTGACCGCTCACGACATCAAGCGTCTGGCGCTTGTTTCACTTGCTGCCGGGTCTTCGCTTTGTGTGGCGGGAAACAGTATTGGTACGGGCGTCCAGAAACTAAACTTGACGTTAGTACTGCCTTTTTTATGTGAACTGGACCTCTCTATATGTGACATCCGGGATGAGGGTTTGCTGCAACTGGCGAACGCCCTTGAAAAAGTGGGGCCCTTTTCTTTGCGTGTGTTGCGGTTAGACGGGAACGACATTGGCGTGGAGGGAAAGAAGGGGTGTAGCGGGTTGCAGTTTCTTGGAAGGGCTCTGCGGGCGAGTTATGCTCCACGCCTTGAGGTGCTTTCCCTTGCACACAATAGGCTGTTGCTGCGGCCTCTCTTGACACTGGTGGAGCAGGTATCCTCCACTTTGAGGGAGCTTCACATCTCTTACTCTGCCATCGCAAACGAATACGGTGAGGTGATGAGTCTTGTTAAGGGAATTATTCAGCGTCAAAAAGGGGGTCTTGGGTTCGAGCAGCTTGATTTGTGGGCGATGCGTGCAGCCGATGCGGATGCTTTTTGCAGTGGGGAGCTGGAGATGTGGCTTGAGGGTCAGCGGGCTGTTCGGGTCGTCATGGGGACGAAGTGAGACTCTTTTTTCTTTTCTTTTTACTTGGCGGCTTTCCACAAGTTTATTCCTTTTCATCGTTGCTGTCTCCGTTTTCTTGTTTTTGACGGGTCCTTTTGTTTGCTGGTGATACGCACGAATGAATTTTTTTTTTCTTTTTAAATTTCTCCCGATTTATTTAGTTGCGCTGAAGTGCGTGGGCAAAGTGGCGAGAAAAAGTCATGGAAACGAGTGGTGTGCAGCGTGTGCCGGTCGTGTTGTTGCTGCGGGAGGAGTTGAGACTTATGGATGAAGTCATCAGCGGCGGTGGGCGTCGCCGCGTGTACCGGCACCACTTGTTTTTCCGCGCCCTCCTCGCACTGCGCATGGCGCTTGAAAAAATGCTGCCGCACTTCGCCCAACGCAGTGCCACACCACCACAATGGGCGATCACAAGACTTCTTGCGCTTGCGGTTCGATGCGGGGAGGCGGCGGCAGTGGAGTTGAGTGTGTCTCGCATTGACACCCTTTCCCTTGCGGCGCTGTCACTGGCGATATCGTCACGGATTGGATGTCTTCTCGGGGCTCTCTCTTTGCGTGAGCAGGACGTGTTCTCGGGCTTGGCTCTTGCCGAAGAAGGCGGCAGCAGCAGCAACAACAAAAACAAAAAGAAGAAAGATAAGAAGAGGGAAGGCGTGAATTTTCTTGTCACAAGAACACGAGGCCGGCAGAAGCGCTCACGATCGCCGGAGGGCGTCATGTCGCTGCAACGGCCAACAATTGGGTGCGTCATCGAGGCGGTTATTCATTGAGTCGCACGCATGCGTCGAGAAGTACATCTCTCTCTCCATATCTATCTATCTACCTACACATATATATATGTATACATAGAAATGGATAATATTTACATATATCTGCGCTGTTACGAAAGGACGAGGGTGCCATGATCCCCGAGCCGAGTCCATTTGTTGGGGGTTCATCCTCCTCCTCCTCCTCCTTCTTTTTTTTTTCTTTTTTGTGTGTCTTTTTTTTTCCATTTCAGGAGATCTCTGAACGGTTGATGTCGTCTATAGGCGGCTTCCGGCGCCGTGCCCCCAAGACACTCAAGACACGCCACGCGCTAAAAAAGTATGAACCCAAAGTTGTTGAGAACCCAAAAAAAATACTGTTTCTCCGCGGCTCACGGACGAGTAGTGTGGTGAATGATGCCATGACGGACCTTGCCGCCATCACGAAGCCGTACAATAAGAAACTGAAAAAGCGGAACGGTTTTCATCCCTTTGAAGGTCGTGAGCATCTTGAGTTTCTTGGCTTTAAGAACGACTGCTCTCTCTTCTGCTTCACAAGCGACAACAAGAAGCGGCCGCACAACATTGTACTGGGCAGACAGTTCGACTTTCACATTCTAGACATGGTGGAACTCGGCATCGTGGCGGCTGATCGTCTGGACTTGGAGCGGGTAAAGGGCATGGATGTGGCGTCGCTTGGCGGGAAACCTTTTTTTTTCTTTGAGGGAAGCGAGTTTGCTGCGGACCCGGCGTTCATTCGCCTCAAGAGCCTACTAATTGACTTCTTCCGCGGGGGAACCGAGACGGAGGTCAACCTTGACGGATGTGATCGCGTCTTGGCCTTCTCGCTCAGGTCAGAAAATGGCCGGGATGCGTGTGTGGCGCCGTCAACGGAGTGTTACGGCAGCGGGCCGCAGCGGGAACGAGGAAACACGGTTCTTTGCATGCGGCACTACGCCCTGCAGAAACCCAGCACTGCTGCCGGCATGCCTAAAACTTTGAGCAGCAACATCCAGCTTGTAGACATTGGCCCTAACTTTGACTTTTCCATTCGCCGCGCAGCCTTTGCGACGCCGGCCGAATTTAAGGTGGCAACACGAGTACCGAAGGAAGTATTGGCGACATTGCGTTCCACCGCGGAGAATGTCAGCAGCGACGCCATGGGGAACCTCCGCGGCCAGCTGCACGTTGGTAAGCAGGACGTGGATCAGCTGGACCTCCGCCGCTTCAAGGCACACCGAAAGAGAGGACGCCATGGGCGCGGAGAGGATGGCGATGGCGGCGAAAAGGACGAAGAGGCGCCACAAAAACGCCGTCGCCGTCGTCACGGAGGAGGAGGTGACGCCGATGACGACGCACGACCGGAGACGGATATATAAATTTCGATTAAACGAAGAAGAAAAAAAAAGAAAAAAAAAAGAGGGAAGAGCAATAACAATAATGAAGGAATAGTGAAGAGGAGTTTGGCGAGGAAAAGAATGTAATGGGGAAAATGAGAGAAAAAGAAAAAGAAGAATGGAAGAAAACCAACGGACAGCCGCCGCCGCCGCCGTGAGAGAATAGGGAGGGACAAGAAGTGAGTTTGAATTGTGGGAGGATGTCGTTTTTATCGTCCGGGAAACTCTTTCCTTTGGTGTGCAATTGGAAGCAAAAAGAGAGAGAAAGAGAGACTGAGATGTAAACACAAGGGTGGCTGTTTGACAGGCGAATTTGTGTTTACATTTTTTTGTAGCCCCTTTCTTTTTTTATCTCTCTCTCTCTCTTTTTTCTTTTGGTTACACTGCTCAAGTACACACTTATGTGTACGCATTTCATGCGTCGATGTTGTTCTTTTGAGGCGGGAGGAGCGGGAGAGGCATTTGTTTGTTTGTGTACCTTTTACTTTGGGACTGCGCCTAATGACATCTTCATCTCTTCTCACTGGAAGAAAGGTGAAAAAACAAAAAAACAAAAACAAAAACAAACAAGCATAGCCGCAGTAACATAACGCAGGGAGTGAATTCACAAATTCAACGAAACACAGATACATATATATATATATATATAAAGAATATTTATTTATTTTAGAAGCATTGACGTTTCAATGCCACCTCGTTTTTTCTCTGCTTTTCTTTTTGGCGGCGCGATGAATTTGTTTATAGGTGGCTCTGTGCATGCTGCAGGGGCGTACACGAGCCCGTATCCGCAGAATGCTCGTAACTCTGTTGTCTATCTTGACACAGCTGTTCAAGAGGGCTACACATGGTTTGGATCGGCGTCTATGAAACCGATAGGACGAGTGGAAGTGGAGCTATTTGACGATACAGTTCCCATTACAGCACGTAACTTTCGTGAGCTTTGTCGTGGGTACCCAAACAAAACGCCTGAGGGAAAACCTTTGCACTACAAGGACTCTGTTTTCCACCGCATTATTCCCGGCTTTATGATTCAAGGTGGGGATATCACAAAAGGCAACGGGACGGGCGGCTGCTCCATCTACGGCGTCCGCTTCAAGGACGAGTCCTTTGACTCAAAGGCCGGTGCACATAAAGGGCCAGGGATACTCTCCATGGCAAATGCCGGGCGTAACACGAACGGGTCACAGTTTTTTATCTGCACCGTATCCTGTCCGTGGTTGGACGGCAAACACGTTGTCTTTGGACAGGTGCTACGAGGGTTTGACCACGTCAAGGCTATTGAAGAGGTTGGGACACCACACGGCAAGCCAAGCAAGACGGTTTTGGTTTCTGATTGTGGTGTTCTAAAGGAGGCATCTTAGTTGGATGTTTACCTTTTTTTTTTTTTTTTTTTTGGATTTTTTGTTGCGCAATCGGTGAGGAACACACACACACAAAAAAAAAAAAAAAGGATACGTTTGATCCGACACCCAACTGACTGGCGGGAAAGTATAAAAGGAGGGGCATGACGGAGGCATTCGTAACAAAAGAACATTCATAACACACGGTGGCGAAGGAATGGAGAGGGGAGGAGGGAGGGGCTATCGTCGTCTTTGGTGTCGGGCTCAGTGAATGCATGGACAATGTTTTCTCCTTTTACATCCGTGGTTTCCCAGTTAAGCCTGATGCTGCTTTATTTTATATCGACGGTGGGGAGCAGGGAAGAGAGAGAGGGAGAAAAGGCCTTATTTTTTTTTCCTCTTTTTTTATTCCCTTTTCTGACACTTTTTTTTTTGGAAATAAGTAGAGGTGCGCAGATGGTAGTAAAGAAAAGGCCGTTTTTTGCGGATCTTCTGGGAAAGAATTTGGCGTATGAGGTTGGTGTCGCCGCACGAAATGAAAGGGAGTAAAAACAGCTGGATGCTTGCTGACACGTCGGTGACGGTGAGTGTGCCACGGCCACCGATGAGTTCTCAGGGAGAGGGGCAGGAGGGAGGGAGACGGAGACTGTACGCGTCCACTGCGGCGTGTGGTGCCACAGGATGCGGTTGCCATTGTGAAGGATGTGACGGCCGTCATGCGTGCAGCAGAGCGTCACCTGCATCTTTGTTTCTGCCGAGCTTGCAGGTACCGCGAGGAGGTGCAGCTGACCTCTCATCATTGGGCTGCTGAGGCCGTTTTTCCTCTCTGCTCAGCGGGAGAAGCAACTCTTCCTGCAGGCGCTGTGCTGTTCTGCATCGATGCTCCCCACGGGGTGTCACGCCGCCGTGTCGTTGCAGTGCCACTCGCATTGCGGCTTTATTTTCACTAATTGGCTTTGTGTGCAGTGCAACGCTTGTGCCCCTCACTGCACATGTGGCCCCCTCTCATTTTTCTTTTTTGCAGGACCGTGGCCTGTGGTCCCCAACTGGAAGGCTGCTCGCTTTTTAAATACTTTATATTTATTTATGCTGTTGAGGGGTGCTGGAGAGTAATGGCTGTGGGGATGGTGATGCCACTCACAGTGTGGATGGGTGGCGGTGCTCGCTGTCTCACCTCTTTGCTTGGCTTGTTTTCTCTTCTCTCTCCGCCTCACGCACAGACACGCTAGGAAGGAAGTTACGACTAAGCGCTAATCGCCACTGTGAAATTCGAGGGCACTGAAAGGACCAACAACAGCACACACACCGCCCACACACACATATTTCTATGCTCTCACGTGTTGCTGCAGTGAAGGCACCCCGCACACACAACCGTTGCCTTAACACCGGATCGAGCGGAAGGAGGAGGGAAGGAAGAGAGAGTGAGCAGCAGAGGCCCAACATGTCCCGGCATCTCTTCTGTTCTGCGGTGCCGCTCCTCCTCGTTGTGATGTGGATGTGCTGCAACACTTGTGGTCCCGCAGCCGCTGAGGACAGCAATTCAGGGGATGTGCGGCTGCCGCAACGGGTGGGTCTCTTTTTGCCGCAGAAGACGTCGGTGCTGCCGAAAGAGGGGGCGGGTCCGGGTGATGTAAGGGATGCATTTGTCTCACCCTCTATTGTCAGTGCTGGAGGAGTAATTGTTGCTCTTGCTGAGGGTCGGAAGTGGCATAGTGCTCCGCAGCATCCAGCCGCCAAAACCCTTGCGATTGATATTGTTGCGGGGTACCTCAACGCTACGGAGCCGTGGCCGTCCATGGTCGCCTATATCACCTCCAGTAAGTGGAATGCACACACCGTCTTTGACAGAGAAACCCCAAAGGATGGGTTGGGCATGGCGATTCTACCCACGTCACTTTCCAAGGGCAACGAGCTGTTCCTTCTTGTGGGAAGCTCTTACTTTGTTTTTGATGCTACTACGCAGCATTGGGTTGAAGGTGGAGGGGACATCCATTTGGTTAAGGGTGAGGTCACGCCGTCCACGGAAGACGAGCCGAGTAAACGGGTCCGATGGGGCAGACCTCAATCGCTGTTGGGGCTGATCACCGAACGTACCAAACAACTTGGCCTGCACCACGTTTCCGGTGCTGGTGGCTCAGGCATTGTGCTTGAGAGGGGCTGGTTTGTGTTTCCCCTGACGGCGTTAAAAGGCGAAGAAAAAACCGTCTTTACTATTTATTCAGTGAATGGCGGCAGCAGCTGGGACGTCGGCACAGGCACGCCTCCTGGGTACTGCATGGACCCTCTTATTGCCGAATGGGAGGAAAAACTTCTCATTGTTGTTTCTTGTACGGGTGGCCGCAAAGTGTTTCAGGCGGGTGACATGTGGGACACATGGACGGAGGCTCCCGGGGTACTGTCACGCTTGTGGACCAGCGAGCCAAACCCTCGGGGGCTAAATTTTGCGTTGGGAGATCTCCTCACTCTGAACTTTGGCATAAGGAGTCTCATGCTGTACACTCAGAAAGGGTTTCCCCAGGGGGAAGGCAAAGCCAATGCGCTCTACCTTTGGGTCACGGATAATAGCCGCGCGCGTCCTGTTGGCCCAATTTCTATGGATGATGATAGGGAGAGGACGGTTGCCAACAGACTGCTGCACTCAAATAATATGCTGTACCTTCTGCATGAGAGAAGAGATCAAAGTACCGATGGCATTTTTCTTTCCCCACTGAAGGAGGAGCTCGACACAATTATGTCCGTCGCGAATAGTTGGGCACTGATGGACATTTTCTTTTCCGGGTTGTCTATACCCACGGATGGGCTGGTTGCTTCTTTGTCCGATTTAGCCACTCCTGACACGTGGATCGACATGTACCACTGCGTGAATGCAACGGTGACAAATGCCGAGATGACCCCACATGGCTTTAGGTTTACGGGGCCTGGGTCCAAGGCGGTCTGGCCCGTGAACAGGGGGGAATTGAACAGGCAGTACACCTTTGTGGATTACAACTTCTCCCTTGTGGCGACGGCGGTCATCGAGAGGGTGCCCGCGGGCAGCGTCCCTCTGCTGGGTGTGAAATTGGATCATTCTAATCGCAGGGGGTTCATTGGGCTGTCTTGCACCGCGGAGGGGAAGTGGGAGGTGTCGTTAGACGGCAATACAACGAGATCGAGCAGCAATTGGGAGCCGGGGAGAGAATACCAGGTGGCGATCATGCTGCGGGACAACAGAGGCTCCGTGTACGTGGATGGCGTTGTGGTGGCGAGCTCCGAGACGATGCCAACTCTTGAGACGCGGTTTATTCAACTCTCGGAGTTCTACTTTGGGGGCGACGAAGGTGACCGAGGCAGCAGCGTGGAGGTGAAGAACGTTTTGCTGTACAAGCGCATATTAACTGCTGCCGAGCTAAGAAACATACAATGGAGTGCCTCCTCCACAAGTGGAAGTGGACC